CCCCGCACCCACCTGCGGCCCCGCATCCTCCGCTCCGCGCCGGGGGGGGGGGCGGTGGGGGGTGCACCGCGCACGCGCTGGTGACGTCACCGGGATGCGGGTGGTGGTCAAGGGAGCCCTGACGTCATCTGTCATCCCGGGGGGTGGTCCAGCCTTTTTTCCCATTCCCAACATCTGGCTGATCCCCCGCCGCGGCCATCCGTTCCTTTATACACGCGGGTCCGCGCGGATCGAGAGGATGCCGAGGGAGAAAGGGGGGAAAAAAACCCAACTGAAAACGTGGAAGTGAAAATAGGCATTGATAAATAGGAAAACAAAAGATGAGATAGAGGTGAAATCGCAGATGCAAAAATCATTTCCCTTACAAAACGAAAAATTCAAAGATTTATAGAATAAAAACGAAAATAGGAGTCTATTTATAAAATGAAAATTAAAAAAAACCCTTTTTCCTCTCAAAAATTAAAAAAATAATCACAAGAAAAATGAGTAGCTTTTCCTAGTAATTTTTTTTTCAGCTTTAATTTTTAAAGTGTCTTAATTATGAACAATTTAAACAATTGTTTTAGGGGAATGTTGTCATGCGTGCTGGCTTTTTTTTTTTTTCCTTTTTTAAATCTGGACTTGCAGCCCAGTGGAACATTTGGGTTCGAACTCAGTTTCTCTGATCCCGGGTTTAGGATTAGTTTCCCAGATACTGGGCTTAAGGGATGGCCTTTCAACAGGGGGATGCAGGGGGAGGATAGACACCACCCCCTGTGCTCACTGTCTCTTTCTCCAGGCAGGTTTTCCATGCAGCAGGACAGGAGAAGGGTTTCCCTGCTGGCACACGGCTTCAGGTTGCTCATATTAAGGAAAAAAACCTCAAAAGAAGCTGTGAAATGGTTGTTGTTAAGTTTGATGAGATTTTGCCAAGTCCTGGCTGGAGCATCGCGTGCTTTGGCACAGCGCTGAAGAAATCCTGGAATCCCAGAATGGTTTGGGCTGGAAGGGACCTTAAAGCTCATCTTGTTCTCAGGGCTTGGAGTGACTTGGTTCAAGCACCGTCCAACTTGGCCTTGGACACTTCCAGGGATGGGGCAGCCACAGCTTCTCTGGGCAACCTGTGCCAGGGCCTCACCACCCTCACAGGGAAGGATTTCTTCCCAATATCCCATCTAACCCTGTCCTCTGTTATTTGTCCTGTGCCTCCAGGCCCTTGTTCCATGCCCACAACGAGGGATCTGACCAAAAAAGGGCACCATGTGCCTGGGGTCTGCTCCAGCTGCCAGACCGTGGCAGCCAGGCAAGACCTTTGGCTCCAGCTCCAGGATCATCGTGCTCCAGGCTCTCATCCCGATGCGAGGTTCCGATCACCCGTATCTCTGCTGGGAGAGCTGCACTTTGAGGTGAAATGACGGCAGTTTGGGAGCACGGCTGTGGATGATGTTGGATGGGACAGTGACGGAGGACAGGGAGCGGTGCAGCCCGGCCCGGGGAGGCGACCGGGGCCGGAGGATCCGGGATGAGGCGGACGCCCTCCGGGGCAAGCGTCGGGCACCTCCCCATCTCGTCGGAGCTCCACTGAGCTGCTCCGGCCCCGGTGGCAAGCGAGGATCCGTGCCCGGGAAGCCTCGTCCATCAGCGCTGTGGGACACCCGCGTGTGCCCCGGGGCGCAGGGACCGCCGAGAGCCGGGAGCTGCAGGAGGAGAAAGAAGCGTCTGGGAAAGGCTCCCGGCAGCATCCAAAGCGAGATCCTCGGGCAGTGCGGGGCCCGCAGGGCGCTGTTGTCCCACTTCTGTGGCCTGTGTCCTCCCCTTTCCCTCCCCTTTCCATCCCCTTTCTCACACCGCTGCGTTTTCTCTCTTCTCCCCTGTACCTGCTTTTTCCATCTCTCTGGAACCAGCCCCTGTCCCCGTCTCCCAGGTGCTTCTCTCTGTAACTATTTTGTCATTGTCCATCTCTCTCTGTCCAGCTCCCAGCTGCCATTTTTACATTCCTCCCTGCCTGTCTCTGTAGCCCCTCGGTATTTCTGCTGTCTCTGTCTCTCTCTGCCTGGCATCTTGTCACCGTTATCAAGGTTTTCTTTCTGGACCCTGTAGCGTATCACGAGGGTATTTCTTTCTCCTTCTTTCTTGATCCTGTACCCCATCTCTCACTTTGAATTCCTCTCTCTCTGCCCTGTCACCCTCGGCTGTGCAAAGAGAAGACCCTGGGCCTGGTCAAGCTGTCTGTCAGCGGCTGACACACGTGCCCTTGGAGCGGTGAAGCCGGTTCCAAGGTGAGGTGGTTCTCGGCTGAGTCCACGTCTCCCAGCGAAGTCTCCTGCGGCACCTTAGGGAAGCGTTTCTCCCGGGCTTTGCAGGCCCTCTGTGGGCAGCTCTTGGAATTGGAGGAGCATTTGAGGTGAGCGGCGCAGTAGCGAGGAGGAGGTGGTGGGGGCTGGTGATTTCTCACAAGTGCAGCGATAGTTTTCTGTCTCTGAATATCTTTAGCGCCAGAAGCCACGGCGGCTGCAGTGACCGACACTGGAATCGATGCAGAGCAGATGAGTGGAAGGCTTTTGAGGTGCTTCTGAGGCAGGAGTTTTGTGGAAGGGTTTGTGCCCACTGATGTGATGCTGACTGCTGGCACTGGATTTTTTTTCAGATGATGAAGAAGAACCTGACAACTGCAGGAATATCCCAGCTGCAGCTTCTGTTGAGGATGGATTCAGACCCGTGGCCCTCTGAAAGCTCCATCGAGGGACCAAGGATAGAAAACATGGAGGCAAAGTGGAGAAACTTGGAAATAAAGGGGAAAAACTTGGAGGAGAAAAAGCTGAAATGAAGGGAAACTGGGAAATAATAAGTGGAAAGCCTTGGAAATAAACTGGAGAACTTGGAAATAAAAAGAGGAAACTGAGAAAGAAATTGGAACACTAGGAAATAAAGGGGAAAAGCTGGGAAAGAAAGTGTAAAACTTGGAAATAAAGAGGGAAATGGGTATTGGAGGGAGAACACTGGGAAATGAAGGGCAAAAGTGGGAAACGGAGGGTGAAAACTATGCAATAAAGGGCAAAATTTACAGGGATAATAAAGTGGAAAACCTTGGAAACAAAGTGGAGAAGTTCACTAAAAATGTCAAAAAACTTGGTAACGAAGAGCAAACCCAGGAAAGCTGCCTCCTCACCTGAAGGGGCCACTGGAAGGCACGAGGAGCCCTGACTTCCCTGGGGTCACAGCCCCTTTCCCAGTAGAAATGGGGATGGAAACACTGCAGGTTTCTCTCTCCTCAGGGATCGGGACGATGATATCTTGCAAACATCAAACAGAGGGGGATGCACTTAAGCTCAAGCCTAAATACTAAATAATCCCATTTCAGATTCTCATGGTATGTACTATCATGGGAAAAAAATGAGTTTTATTTAAAATAAGAGACAAAAGAGCTCAGTCTCCCGTTTTGGCTCCTGGCTCTGGCAGCTTTCTCTGTGCCACGGCTCAACTCCCCCAGCCTTGGGTGCTGGGGCACTGCTGTGCCAGGGGGCTGCTGCTCCAGGGTGCTGCTGGTGGTGGGATGACCTGGCAGCAGAGCGTGGGAGGGCGGTGGGCACATGGGCCAGGGGCACCAGCGGCACCAGCATCGGCACCAGCTGCCCCTGGCTGCTCCCCAAGACACAGGAGGGCGGGCCAGGGAATGGCTGCTTTCCCTGTGAGATGATCCCCTGTGGCACCTGGATGGGGTGAAAAACAACCCAAAGGGTGAAAACACGTTTTTAACCCCCCAAACTGCATGAGTTCAGCATGGATGCTCAAAAGAGGGAGGGACCCTCCCGTCCTGCCACCAGTGGGCACAAGGAAGCACAAAGAGGGTGGGATTTGAGGATCTTCAAGGTTTTTCCAACCTTGAGGACTCCAGGATTCAAAAAGGGCTCTGCTAGAGCTGCCCCCCTTAGGGTCTGAACCCCAGAAATGGGCCCATGTACCCCCAAAATGCAAACCAGGGGGAGCTTGAAGATTGAACTAAATCAAAGTTCAAGGACTGGGCTCTTGGTCCCTGTTCCTCTTCCCCCCTTCCCAGGTGAAAGAACTAAAGGAAAAGAAACAGAACTAAAAAAACCCAGAATTAAATGAAATAGGATTAAGCGACATAGCGAAATTAAAATAAATGGGGATTTAAAAAAAAAATAGAAATGGGACTAAAAGAACTAAAAAATAAACCTAAAAAAGCAGAGCTTCAAAACCCAGAACTACAAAAGCCTGTCTGGCAAGTCCAGGCTGAATGTGGAGGTAGGTGCTGGTCCCTGACCCCCTTGGCCACTACGCCGAGGGGCTGCACTTGCCTGCTGGAGGTACATGACCTGCTGCACTGGCTGGGCTGTCACCTGCTGTCCCCACGCCTGGCAGGGCCCCACGCCCAGCGTCCCACCGGGGCCCTGGAGGCTGGAGAAGGGCCCGAGGTGCTGCGGGAAGGGCTGGATGTTTCCTTTCTGGCGGGGGCGGCCGGCGCGGGGCTGCAGCCCCTGGACATCGGTGCCAGCGGAGCAGAGCTGCAGGGTGCTGCTGAAAGCCACCTGGGGCTGGAAGCTGCCCACGTCCTGCTTGGCCTCCGCCTCCAGCAGCTGCTCCGTGATGCCCGCTGCCCACAGGCACTGCTGGAGCAGGTCGCAGGGTGGCCCCACCACGGCGGCCCCGCTGTCCCACTGCCATGCCAGGCTGGCATCCTGTGGCACTGTCAGGCCTGTGCTGGCCGTGGGCTGGCTCAGCTCTGCGGTCAGGAGGCTGCCCGAGGATTCCCAGAGCTGGGAAATAGATGAAAAACACCCTGAGGATGTCAAAAAACAACGGGAGCGAAAGGAAAGGCTCCCCAAGGAGAAATTAAAAAAAGACCTACCCCAGCACCTTCAAAAAAGGAACTGGCTGCATCCTCCGTGCTGTCCAGGATGGCAGCACAGTCAGTCTGGAATTACAAACATTGGATTTACTTTGTTTAGACACAGAATGAAAAAAAAATGGGGGGAAAAAAAGAGGGTGCAGTGGTGAGGGGCAGCCCCAGAAAACACCGAGCTTTCCCCAGCAGTGAGGCAGTGGCTCTCCCTGTTCCCGGTTTTGGCTCAAAACATCCCAAAATCCCAGCTGGCTGCACCACATGAGCGGTGGCAGAAGCTCAAAACCAAAAAGATCCTGACCTTGGGAGAAGTTTGATGTAAAAAACCCTCAGTTTTTATGAAAAAACAGGATGTTTGTGCTTTGGAGAGGTAGCTGAGTTGTCACCTTTCTGGATCCAGGCAAAACATGGTTCACGACCTGAGGATCGCTGCAAAAACACAGGGAAAGGTTTAGGAGACAGCACCAGCACCTAATTAACAAATTAATGCTAGTAAATGTTATAACTAATGATGGACACCCATTTGTGGTTCAATAATGATGTTTCATGACCAATTTGAGCCATCAGGTGTGTGCTCAGAGGCTGATTTTTGCCTCTTGCATTGCTCACCCCCCTTTATTCCCCTTTCCCTGATAATTGTCCAAAGCAACAATTACCAACAGTTTCATAAGAACAAAAAATGAGCCATTGGGCAGAACAGCATTTGAGGGACCTGCTAACGAGCACCCCCAGCCCAGGGGGACTGGTAGCAAGCAAGGGTTGTGATGCACAGAGCCCTAAAAGTCGTAGTTTTGGGTAAAATAGCTGAAAAATGGGATTTATTCCCACACTGTCATTATTCTCTGTATTACTGGGGTGTTTCCAGACCTTTGGATGATGTTTTCTGCCCTTCTCAAGACATTTCAGCCCTTTTTAGCCCTTTTGAAGGATGGCTTGCGTGGTTTTTGGCTCTTGGAGACCCAGCCCAGCCCAGGAGAAGCCCTGCTGGGGATCCAAGGGGGATGGAATCCCCTTTCTCACCCCAAAATCATGGGACTTACCAAAATACATCTGACAGGCCCCAGCTGTCTTCATCATCTGTAACAACTGCAAAGAAAGGAGAGAGAAGGTTGTGTTGGGAGAGCAGGGGGATGGTGATGATGATGATGGTGGTGACCAGACCAGAGGACACCCAAAAATGAGGCTCCATTACTCCAAAGGGTGTCAGCCCCCTAACAGGAACCTTGTGAAGTTCCAAGGGGGTTCCTGATCCACCCACCCGATGGATTTCACTCCCAGTTCTCCCAGCCAGAGCTCAGGTTTCACTCTGAAACCCAAACCAGCAGACTTTTGGCTCATTTTCACCTCACCACAGGGGCCTGCTGACCCTTGCTGGGCCAGGAACACCTGGAGCCAGATCCTGTCATGGCTTGGCAAGAACTTGCCTTTAATACAACTTATTTATGCACTTTTATCCCTAAAATTCCACCGAGCAAAGCGGATTTGGAAGGAATTGAGGATTTTCTGACAATAACCCGCAATCGGCCACAGACTGCCTCCTCCCAAACCCCTGTGGATGAACACATCTGGGAAACTCTGTGATTTTGGGGTTGGTTTTGGATGTTTCCCCTCTTTTCCTCAGATCTGGGCAGGATTTGGAGGTGGGGCAGTACAAAACTACTAATAAAAATCAAGGAAAAAATTACGTCTAGTCTGCTACCTCAGTAAACTCTAAAGATAAAAATATCTTCAACTATCACACCCAAAAATGATATATATGAAGATTTTCCTCCTTGGCTTTCTCCATCTGGGGGGGGTGTATGTGCAATAAGATGTTTTTCAGCTCCCTGGATCTCTGCAATAGTGCTTGAGGAGCGAATTAAAGCCGGTGATTACAGAGATGAGGGACAGCAGCCCCCACAAGAAGACCCTGGGGGCTGCTCTGTGGGGGTGCAGGAATCACCATCAGGCAGCACAAGGGCAAAATGCCCTTAAAATCAGACTCAAAATATTCCCTATTATTTTTGGTGGTTCCAAAGCAGCGCAGTTCTCACTAATTAAGGAGCGGGAGTGACGGCCAGAGCCTGAAAATTATCTTTGCAATAAGCCCCTAAAGGAGTTGGAATTTTTCCCCATAAATATGAATATTTGATATTCCTTAAATAAAAGTGCTCACTTGGATCTGGAGGGATCAGGGAACATAAGGTGCTCCACGGGCGGCACCTGGCCATGTCTGAGGGCAGAATCCCCTTGCTGGCACCGGGTTGTTCCCAAAGGCCACGTCACTGGGGACTGGCCATGACTGAGGACCACTTGGAATTGTTGGCAACCAGTCTTGTGACCGAGGTCAATGTTCCTTGTTGGTGTTTGGGGGCCACGTTCCGTTGCCGTGGGAGAGGAATGGGAGGGATTCCTTGAGCACTGGCTGTGATGTCACCACTGTGTCGCTGATCAAATGTGTTCAAAGTCAATCAAAAGTTGAAATACAAGAGATTCGATGTATTTTCCCTGTTGTTGAGGCAGAATGAAACCAAAAGACACCAATAGTACCCCGTAGGGTGATGAAATGCTGCCCCAAACGGCCCCTTCTCACCCCTTTCTAACCCAAAGAATGGGTTTGGGTTGGTTTGAGTCAAAACAGCAACCCCCTGGTCCACCAGTGAGCATCCCTCATCCAGCAGCTTCCCTGCAGGGAGTCCAGTGTCCTTCCTCCTCCTCCAGCACTCAGGATTTACCAGCTTTTAATTCATTTTTACCCCTAAACCCACATTTGGTCCTTACAAATGAGTCTTCTTTTGGCTCTTAAAAGCGGGACTTTATACCCTAGATATTAGTTCTCTGCACCTTCAAAATGAGGCTTTGGACATGAAGAACTTGAGGCTTTGAGGAGTTTACACCCTAAAATGATGCTTTGGACCCTAACACGTTCTCCTGGGAGGTGGGTTTCAAAGCGTCCTGGTGTCCATGACTTCCAGCTGCCAGAGGGCTGGGCTGTGGTGGCCACAGGGCCAACAACACGTGTGGCCCTGAAGGGAAAACACGTGGGACCTGTGAGTGGTGATTGTGACCTCACCTGCCTCCTTGGCATCCTGAGGAGTGGCCAGCAAAAGCTAGTTGGAGCTGAACTGGCCACTGGGATAACTTGGCTCCTTCCATTGCTACTTTCATGCCTGCCTGTTTCCAAGCATTCTTCATCCTTGGCAGCAGCTAGAAACACCAATTTTTGACAGCTGGAGGTGCTTTGTGGGTCACATTTGGGGTTTTTAAAATCATTTTGCTGAGCTACAATTACTTCCTTTCCCAAGAGATGATTGGCACTGATCTGATCTTTCTGGAAGAGGTCCTGACATCCTCTGTCATCCCAAGCTTTTCCCTCTGTACCTGAGGGGGCGATGGCCTCAAGAGGGAACAACTTCTTTGAGTAATAGTTTCACCAGCAGGCTTGGACTTTGTGGATGCCCTTGGACAACAGACATGGCTGTGGCTCCATCCCTGCTGACAACCTGGAGTGAATTCTGAGGCGTTTCCTGAGAGCAGCCAGACTGATCCAGGCGTTTTCATTATATTACAATCAGGAAAAGGTAAAATCTGATAATCCAAGGCTCTAGAGGGAAAGGAAGGTAGTTTGTGGCCTAGAAATCAGAGTGTGGGTTTGCTGGCCTTTCAACAGACTAAACAGGGGAACAGACTGTTTTCCAGAACTGTTTCCCTACCAGCAGATGTCAACAGGGTGTTAGGCTTCCCCCGATGTTTCTGGGTTGGTGGTTAGAGCTGTTGGCCTTGGTGTTCTGTAGAAAACTCAGCATTTGAACATGTTTTTGAGCAACAATATTCACACACAGAGTGACTGAATCAATTAGGTTAGAAAAGACCTCTGAGGTCATTGAGTCCAACCTCTGACTGAACACCACCTTGTCACCCAGACCATGGCACTGATGCCACATCCAGGCTTCTCTCACACACCTCCAGGGATGGTGGCTCTCCCACCTCCCTGGGCAGCCCATTCCAATATATAACCACTCCTTCTGTGAAGAAATTCTTTCTGATGTCCAACCTGAACCTCCCCTGGCACATCTTAAGGCTATGTCCTCTTGTCCTATTGGTGATTGTCTGAGAAAAGAGGCCAACCCCCACCTGGCTACAACCTCCTTTCAGGTGGTTGTAGAGAGTGACAAGGTCACCCCTGAGCTTCCTTTTCTCCAGGGTAAACAACCCCAACTCCCTCAGTTGCTCCTCATAGGACTTACCCTCTAGACCCTTCCCCAGCTTTGTTGCCCTTCTCTGGACACTCTCCAGTCCCTCAATGTCTTTCCTGATTGAGGGGCCCAGAACTGGACACAGCACTCGAGGTGCCAAGTACAGAGGGACAATCACTTCCCTGGCCGTGCTGGCCACACTGTTCCTCATACAGGTCAAGGTGCCATTGGCCTTCTTGGCCACCTGGGCACACACTGGCTCAGGTTTAGCTGCTGTCGACCAGCACCCCCAGGTCCTTCTCCACTGGGCCCATTTCCAACCACTCTGCCCCTGGAGTGGTTGGAAACCCAGACTAGAGCACTGAATGGGGTTGTTTTGGCTGAAGTGTAGGACCTGGCACTTGGTCTTGTTGAACCTCATGCTGTTGGTCTCATCCCAGCCTGTCCAAATCCCTCCACAGAGCCTTCCTACCCTTCAGCAGATCAACACTCACACCCAACCTGGTGCTGTCAGTGAATTTACTGAGGATACACTTGATACCCTCGCCCAGACCATCAATAAAGATATTAAACAGGACTGGGCCCAACACTGATCCCTGGGGGACACCACCAATGACCAGATGCCTTCTGAATGTGGCACCATTCCCCATGGCCTGGCCATCACCCAGGGCACAGTGCACCACTTACCTCTTGTCTCACCTCTTTTCAAATGTCGTTTCCCTGCAGTCATTGCCAAGGAAATGACTCCACCACAGAGGATCCTCTTTCCCCCAGAGAACATTTACATGGACTGGCTGCACACACGGAGACCTGGGCCGGGACTCCGCAACCGGGGCAGCACTTGCTACGTCAACGTCATCCTGCAGTGCCTGACCTACACCCCCCCTCTGGCTAATTACCTGCTCTCTCGTGAGCACAGCCAGTCCTGTGAGTACTTTCAGGAGTGTCTCCTTGTAAATCCCAAGAATTCCCAGAACCTGGAATTGGATTTACGAGAGAGAGCAGCAGCCCTTCTTTGTCAGTTTGTGTTCCTTGATGGCTCAAACTAAAAGCTGCTTGTCATGGAACCATAGAATCAACTGGGTTAGAAAAGACCCCCGAGGTCATCAAGTCCAACCCTTGATCCAACCCCGCCATGGTTCCCAGACCATGGCACTGATGCCACATCCAGTCTCACCTTCAACACCTCCAGGGACGGTGACTCCACCCCCTCCCTGGGCAGCCCATTCCAATGGCTGAGCACCCTCTCTGGAAAAAATTTCTTCCCAATATCCAACCTAAACCTCCCCTGGCACAGCTGAAGACCCTGAGCCCTCTTGTCCCACTGCTGGTTCCTGGGAGCAGAGCCCGACCCCCACCTGGCTCCCCCCTCCTGTCAGGGAGTTGTAGAGAGTGAGGAGGTCTCCCCTGAGCCTCCTCTTCTCCAGGCTGAACAGCCCCAGCTCCCTCAGCCTCTCCTCACAGCACTTGTGCTCCAGTCCCTTCCCCAGCCTCGTTGCTCTCCTCTGGACCTGCTCCAGCCCCTCCATGTCCTTCCTGAACTGAGGGGCCCAGAGCTGGACACAGCACTCCAGGGGTGGCCTCACCAGCGCTGAGTCCAGGGCAGGAATGACTTCTCTGGTCCTGCTGCCACACTCTTCCTGGTCCAGGCCAGGATGACATTGCCCTTCTTGGTCACGCTCATTGTCCTGTCAAGGTGCTTCCATCTTCAGAAAGGCACCTCTTTTGAGCCCTGGGTCTCTGTCCCAGCTGGTTAAACCCTCTTGGCTTATTGCACGGAAAACTTGTGCCACTTTAGCCTCCCTCTGAAGAACATTTTCCCTGCACTTAAATGTCCTGGGCTTCTCAGGACACTGGCACCCTGAGAGAAGAGGAATAGAGAGTCCTTAGAACTTCAAGACCTCCATAAAGTTTCCCATTCCTTGGCATTGTTTTGCTAACCCAAGAAACTTCCCTCCCTCCCCAGGTCAGCAGCAAGTCTTCTGTATGATGTGCATCATGGAAGACCACGTTCGGAAGATCATGTATTCCTTGGCCAACGCCGTCCTGCCCAGGGCTGTCCTCAAGAGCCTCAGATGTAAGCAACTTCAGGTGCTTTGACAGGCTTTCTCCCCTTCTTGCAGGGGAGAACTACTAACTTTTTTCTTAGTCATAGGAGAATTTAAGCCTGACGTAGCAGGAGACGCCTACGAGTTCTTCTGCTGTGCTCTCCATGCCATGCAGGATGCTTGTCTGCCTGAAAGCAGAGTGTAAGCACAAGCAAATTCCCTTTTCTATGTTCCTGAACCTGTTGAACTCCCTGAAGTGCTCCCATCAAGGAAAACTTAAACCTAGGGGTTTCAAATCTAAACTCTTGGAGGAGGTAACTCTCTGCCTTGCCATTTATTTCCAGCTTGGATGTCTCTTCTCAAACAACTACCCTCATCTACCAAATATTTGGGGGCATTCTGAGATCCAGAGGTATGTTTCCACAACTATTGCTCTCCTTGGCCCTTTCTGTGCCCTTCTGTCTGTCTGTGACAAGCAGCTGGTCCTGTGACTGGTGCAGGAAGTCCCACAGGCATAAACCATCACTGTCAATTAACTTTACCCAGCATTTTGATTTTCCTTCCAGTCACGTGCTTGAGATGCCAGACAGTTTCAGATTCCTACAAGGCCTTCCTGGAAGTCCTTTTGAAAATCAAAGTAAGAAGCTTTGCAATTGTGCTTCAAGGGGTCCGGAGGCCCCTGTTGTAGCTTTCCAGAACCAAAGCATTTGTCTTAAAAATCTCTATTGCAGGCACAGGGGAGCTTGGTGGTGAGTGGAAAGGGGAATGAACAGTGTCCTCCTGCAGAGGCCGTGGCACTGCTCTCCCGTGGTGTTGGCTTTAAGCTGAACCAGCAGCATTATGCCCTCTGCACCCTTGACATACTCTCCTCCTCCCTCCTTTGCCCTCCCTCAGCACCTGTCTGGCTGCCAGGCTCAGTGGTTGGATCAGTTTTCACTGCTGGTGCCCTGGCACACCATCAGTAGCTGAACTGAGCTGTGGCACGGAGAGGGAGCTCTTGATGGCCCCAGGAACCCCTGGGGCACAAAGGAAATGTTCAGCATCACACTTCCCTTCTGCTTCCTTCTAGACAGTGCTTGCGGGTTCACAGTGGGTCTGCTCAGCATCAACAGCCTGGGTCTTCCTGGGAAGTGTTTGGGTGAGAGCATTTCCTGCAGCTCAGCAGCTCCTTTCTCACTTGTCCAGGCAGCCTCATCCCTCACGGCGATCCTGGAGAACTTTGTGAAACCCAAGCTGCAGAATGGGAAACCGTGCGTGAAATGCACCAAGTAAGATGATCTCTAATGATATTTTAACAGCAGATCCTGCAGGAGGGGCTGCATGTCATCAGGTAGAATCAGCTTCTCGTAGAGGTTTAATACACAATAATGAGACACAGCCTTTTTTAATACGGCCTTATAGCCTGGAATATCCTTAAGGAAGTGCCAGGATGTGTGAGACAGGAAAGGTTGTCTGGCCCTCCTGGGGCAAGATCAGGTGCATTTTGGCACTTGGCTCTGTGCTTGGGTTCAAGGCATAGGAAGAAGATGATTGCCTCCAAGAAGATCACAATCCATCACGCGCCCAGGGTCCTCACGCTGTGCCTGGGAAGGGTTGATGTTCAGAACAACAGGAAGATCAGCGAGGTGTGTATGCAACTAGAGAGCAACTCCCTCTTCCTGGAGCAGGAGATCCCCCAAAGCACTACCCTTTGTCACAAGCTGCTCCTGTTGGGCTTTCCGTGTTTCCTTCTGGGGAGAGGAGACTTCCTGTGGGAAGTCCAGCCTGGATTCTGCTCTGGCAGAGCTGCTTTGGCAGGAGAACAGTTTCCTGCCACCCAAACCACTCCATACTGGAGGCTATTCCAGCTAGCTCAGGGTCATTGCTGAGCCCTTGTGGTTTCTCTGTAGCTTGTGGAGTACCCTGAGTGCTTGGATCTTCAGCCATACATGTCTGAGGAAGCTGAAGAGCCCCTCCTTTACTCCTTGTACTCCGTCGTGGTGCACAGCGGTGAAACCTGTCTCGCCGGGCACTTCTTCTGCTACACAAAGGCAAGGAGCAACTTCCCTTCTGACATGGAAACATGTGCTGGGAAGACAAACATTCCCAGCAGTGCTATGGGCAGCCAAGGCTTTGGGGGAGTTTCTCCCTCAGGGCTGGACTGGATTTGTGTTGGTGTACCGATTGTTCCGCAGTTTTCTGTGGAGAAATCCTGCAGTTCCCCTCCAGACAGGGATGCCTTCCTTTGCAGGCCAGCGATGGGCTGTGGTACAAGATGGATGATGAGACTATGGATGACTGTGACATCCACACAGTTCTGGGCCAGCAAGCCTATCTGCTCTTCTATATCAGGTAAGAACCAGGCTCACACGAGTTCAGCCCTTTTCCTGGCTTTCTCATTTGTCTTCTCATCCTCCTGAGTGTTTCTGCCACAGGAGACAACTCCTCCCTGTGTCCTTCAGTGCTGTCAGTTCTGAAGTACCCCATGCCAGTCCTTCTCTTCCCTTGCTGGGCATTAGGCTGCTGCCCTGTGTAAGCTGCCCTGCCTGCTTTCTGAAGCTGGCTAATGCAGAGAAGAGGACTTAAGGGGCCTCCAGGAAAGATGGGGAGAGACATTTTATCAGGGAGTGTAGTGACAGGACAAGGGGTAACGATTTCAAAGTGAAAGAGGGAAGATTTAGATTAGACATAAGGAAGAAATTATTCCCTGTGAGGGTGGGGAGGCCCTGGCACAGGTTGCCCAGAGAAGCTGTGGCTGCCCCAGCCCTGGGAGTGTCCAAGGCCAGGTTGGACGGGGCTTGGAGCAACCTGGACTAGTGGAAGGTGTCCCTGCCCATGGCAGAGAGGTGGAATGAGATGATTTTTAAGGTCCCTTCCAACCCAAACCATTCTGGGATTTTGTGAAATGGAGGCCTTAGGGGGTACAAAGACAAGGACTTGCTCTGGGTGCAGACCTGGGGGGGGAGGCCCCAGCTGAATTTCTCATGGGTGACCTTGGGGAAGCCGTAGAAACGGCTCCAAGAAATTACTGAATCCCAGATGAGTCTGCAAGAAATGCCCTAAACAGAGATCACTCTTTTTATCTTCAGGTGCCCTGATTTGAACATGGAAGAAATGGCAGCTTCTTCATCAGCACCACCCTATGCCCAATCCTTCCTCAGTCAGAGCGGGGGCAGCAGCAAGCAAGTGGATTCTGCAGGACCACAGGATCTGCCTGGGAGGATTAAGGTGACACACAGGCAGAGGAAAGATGGCAGGGAGAGGAACAGGAGCAGATCCCCACGGTGGCACAATGTTCACTACAGCTGGTTCATGAACAGTGCCAACTACGACAGCTCAAGGGGGAGGAGGAAGAGAAGTAATCTTCCAGATTGTGTTAATGCTGCCAGGGATGACACAGCTCCAGGACCCTCCAACAGGAGCTGCCAGTGGGCTCCTGCACACAGGGCTGCTCAGGAACAACTCCTGCCAAGACAGAGAGAGCAGGGCAGAGCCTTACAGATCCGGAGCTATGGTCTCCCCAGACGACCTGTGGAGGTCAGGGAATACCCTCAGTTAGAAAGGAGGAGGAGGAGACAACAGGAACCATTTGGAACCAACAAGCAGAGAAGTCACAGCCACAATTAAAACCCCTTGTTGGCCTTGCACGAATAATTTGCAGCACGTTTCCTTCTCTCTCGGTTCTGGGGCAGTTGGTGGAAAGAGGCAGTGAGGGATGGTTGTGTGATGGGATTTTGAAAGCTGTGGGCTTGCAGGAACCCACCTGGCAATCTCTTCTTTTCGAAAATGAGGCTCAAGTCACTCAAAGGGACCTGGGCTGAGCGAGCCAGCAGTGCCCAGGATTGAAGCAGGCTGGGTGACCGGGCCCCAGGGGTGCTGCTCAGTGGCATCAAATCCAGTGCAGAGCCAGGAACAAGCACTATCTCCCAGGAATCAGCACAAGGACTCATCCTGTTTAATGTTTTCCATAACTAATGGTCTGGATGCTGGGGCAGATGACACCAAACTGGGAAGGGGGGTGCTGAGGCCAGGACTTCATGCTGTCATGCTTCCTCCACTCTGTCCTGCTCCCTGCCCTGCTTTTCCTCTTTGCAGTCCCTCTATCCAGCTTCCTGTCCCCTTTTTTTCTGTCTTTATTTCTCTGTCCTGCTGCTTGTACCATAAAGTGTAAGAATCTCATTTTTTCAGTTGTTTTCTAACACTAAGTGTTGGTAAAAAAGAGGAAGAGAGGCTGAAAGACTCTCTTTTCTGAGATTAACATATTCCCATAGAGTGCCCACTTTTGTGTGGTGAAGGTTTCCTAGTGAAATATGATTTTGCTGGGCTGAGAGAATGTATTGGAGTAGCAGAGGGAAGTAGAGTCTTTCAAAGTAATAAAGCTGTAGCAAAACTAGCAGGAAAAGCTCATTTCTTGCTAAATACTGCCTGACAAAAGTGGTAGCAAGTAAAGGCACTTGTGGATGGCTTTTTTAAGCAGTATTCATACAGAGCTTTTGATATGGATTTCTGAGAAGGAAGACCTGAGTGCCTGTGCCTCAAGGCTGAGAGCTGCAAGCCAAACCATTACATTTATTTGGACAAGCATTTGCACCCCACGTCTCACCAGCACGTCCCCATTCTTGTGGATGAAACCACAGCTGGGAAACCAGGCTGGTGCTGAGAGAAAGGTGTCCTGCACTGGAATGCAGGTCTCTGCAGCTCCTCTCACAGCTCTGTGCATTCCACCCCGACAGAAACAGCCAAAACAGGCAAGAACTCACTGCTTTTTGGCGAAAATATATCTTTTATGCATTCACAAAACAATCCTCTTTTAATGTGCAGTATCCCTGGCACTGGTAACAGCGATACCCAAACGGTGTGGGCTGAGATGAGTCCAGCAAAATCCAGTTGTCACATGAAGAGGCACAGTCAGCCAGAGAGCAGCTGGGGCACGTGGGCAGAGGTGAGGGACCTGTGACCATGTGCCTGGACATCTGGGCGAGCTGTGCTGCAAAGACCACTGGGGATGGGCTGGAGCTCTTGGTGTTGGCTTGTCCCGGTGCTTTTCTGGTTCTCTGGGTCGTTCTGTACAAATGGGTTCAGAAAAGACCACTCAGTGATATGAACTAGGGGGACAGGGATCATACCATGGGAATCTCACCAGGGTGCTGCCAGCAGCTGCCTTGGCAAGCCAGCACACCCTAACTGCAGATACTGCATTGCCAACAGCAGCAGTGAATAACTCTGGGGAAAAGCCAACTCACGTGTCTCTCCTGCTCAGCAGTGACAGGACTATGCCCAGTACCACTATCCCAAGCAGCAGCACACCCAGGGCTGCTGCAGTGCCTAGGATATAGTTCTTGCTCAGCTCCTGACCAGCAGCCTTTTCCCCAGCACTTGGCCCTGCAGGACAAGAGACAACACCCCAACATCACCGTGCTCTGCCCTGGGGGTGATCTCACAGTGTGCTTCACCTGCCCGAGGGGGTTTGTTCTCAGAGATCGGTGCTTCTGGCTCTGGAGGGGACAAGAAGGATCCCTCAAAGCTCTCATGGAGAAGAACCTGTCTGTCCCTCCGGGCTGCAGGCCAGGGCTGTGTGCTGGGCACTCACAGCTCCTCCAAGGAGACACTGCAGGGGTGCAGCAGAAATGCTCCAGTTCTCCCAAGCTGACATCCCCCGAGCACTCACCTCCAGGACGCCCCTGAGGCTGAGCAGACGTGCTGCCTTCTTGTATTGCCTCTCTTTCTTTGTCAGAGACTGGCACCCTGTTGCTTCTTCTCATCTGCAAGGCCTTCTTCTGCTCTGGCTCCATCTCTAGAAAAGAACAAGGGACAGTTTAATTAGAACTAATCATTCCTCATCAGGAACACGGTGCCACGTCCTGGGCACTTTGGTAAGTGGCAGTGGGGAGCCTGCTGTCCCCCACAGAACAGGAAAACCACAACCAAGCTTTCTGAAATGCAACCAGAAATGGAGAGCCTGTTGGAAATCATATAACTTTTATAATATTTGAGTTTAATATATGGTTTTAATTAAACCTTTTAATTAGGTGTTTTAGTTAATCATAAGCTGCGTTAGGCCTTAAATCACTTTTAGTCAGCATATAGCAAAAAAAGTTGTCATAAGCACCTTCTGTGAGAACACAGCTTGGGAAAGTACTAAAACTGTGAGTTTTATTAAACTTTGATATGCTTCAAGGAACAAATACTGAGAGAGAAAGATGTGTTGTTCAAGTTGGACATCTGGAATGAAATACATGGACATTTTGCAGAAACCAGCAGCTAAAGAAAAGAATTAACGAAGAATTCAATAGAAGTGCTGGATTCCTTCCCTACTGGAGGAAAAAGATACTAAACAGACTAAAGATGTGGACTTAATTAGCATAGAAAGTGAGAAATTAATAGCCAATAGAAGGTAGAATAATAACTAATGAAAGTGAATTATGTAATTAAGAACCAATGAACATTAATTTCCTTGTTTGTCAAAAGTGTCTAAATGGGTGAAAAAGTGATATATTGGTGTCTGCATGGAGGCAGAAATGCCTGCAGAATCAGGATCTACATGACTTCCAACATTAGGAAAGGGCAGCCAAGATTTCTTGGGATGTCCTTCATGCCTTGAGGCTGCTCTGTGCATGAGCTGAACACGAATTCAGCACACACCTGTTCCCAACACCTGGATACCCAGCACAAAGCAGCTCTGGCCAGTCACAGAATCATGGAATCAGCTGGGTTGGAAAAGACCTCCGAGATCATCAAGTCCAACCCTTGATCCAACCCCGCCGTGGTTCCCAGCCCATGGCACTGATGCCACATCCAGTCTCACCTTAAACACCTCCAGGGACGGTGACTCCACCCCCTCCCTGGGCAGCCCATTCCAATGGCTGAGCACTCTCTCTGGAAAAAATTTCTTCCCAATATCCAACCTAAACCTCCCCTGGCACAGCTGAAGACCCTGAGCCCTCTTGTCCTACTGCTGGTTCCTGGGAGCAGAGCCCGACCCCCACCTGGCTCCCCCCTCCTGTCAGGGAGTTGCAGAGAGTGAGGAGGTCTCCCCTGAGCCTCCTCTTCTCCAGGCTGAGCCCCCCCAGCTCCCTCAGCCTCTCCTCACAGCACTTGTGCTCCAGTCCCTTCCCCAGCCTCGTTGCTCTTCTCCGGACCTGCTCCAGCCCCTCCATGTCCTTCCTGAGCTGCGGCAGCCGCTGACCCTGGTACTCAGCTGGAAGCACAGCTGGGAGCAGAGGCTGTGCTGGATCATCTCTGTGGCTCAGCAGCCCACACAAGGTGTGGAATCGAGTGTCTCTGCAGTGAGGCTCTGACAGATCCCTCCCTGCTGCCCAGGCTCCAGCGTGCCCCTACAGGAAGCTGAAAGCTCAGCTTCTCAGGTCCCACAGTTCACAGAGTGAGATATACTGAGCTGATGTGGCTTTCTCCAAGTTTTTCAGGGCCTCTTTTGGAACTTCAGGAGTCCTCTGGAAATCCTTCCTTGTTTTAACTTTATACAAAGACACTAATGGGAAGTATGAAGGCACATTTCACATGAAGAACACATTGAAAAGGAATTTATTATTATGTGAAGTCAATAGAGACTGACTACTCACCCCTGGGATACCAGCTGGGAATCAGCATGGGAACCATCTGAGGAGCTGGAAGAGCCCTCCCTCTGGCCACATCTGTAATCAAACACCCATGAAAAGCTACCATCACATGTTCTGCTCTACACTGTCATACCTGTCACGTCATGACAGGGCACACACAGGTGGATCTGTGTTCTCACACCTGCAGGGGCACTTGGCTGACCTTGGGACTCTGAGCTGGCAGCTCCCAAAGGAAGCAAAAAGCCACGGCCCACACACAGACGTGACATGTCTGTGGGTCAGCCCTGGAACCCAGCCAGGAGGCTGGAAAACCATCACCGAGTGGGGGATAACTCAGTGCCAAGTTTCTGGCCTGGCACTGCCACTCCACACCTCCCTGCTCGTTGGGAACTCCCTCCCTGAAGCAGCTGCAGCTCCTCCTCACCTCCCTGTGCTGTGTCTGCCCCACTGCCCACACTGTTCTGTCCTCCTGGCCCACTGCTGCCAGCCCCAGGCTGGGTGCTGGACTCTCCCTGCCTGCCTGCTCCCTGCCTGCCTGCTCCCTGCCTGCCTACCTGCTCCCTGCCCTGGGACTGGAGCAGTCTGGCCGTCCTGGGCTTGCAGGACCAACAGAAAGAGGAGGAGGCAGTGGGTGAGGACCATGACCCCCCGTGCTCACACACACTGTATCAGTGCTGCTCACAGCTGGCACAGAACACACCATCAAATCGGGGCTCTGTGACCTCACATCAGAGCCACCCCATGACCCCACCAGGACCTGCCCACTGCCAGACCATCCCAGAGTGCTCCCATGGCCTGTGAATTCCTGAATCTGCCCATTGGTGAATTCCTGAATCTGCCCGCTGGTGAATTCCAGAATCTGCCCGCTGGTGAACTCCCTCGTTCTGAACGAGCATGGCAGAAGCAGAAGTGGAGAAGGGTAGAAAAGCTCATTTCTTGCTAAATGCTGCCTGACAAAAGCAGTAGCAAGTAAAGGCACTTGCAGATGGCTTTTTTATGCAGTATCCACATGGAGATTTTGATATGGAAGGAAGCAAAGGAAGACCCGAGTGCCCTGGCTTCAAGGCTGAGAGCTGCAAGCCAAATCATCACATTGACACAGGACAAGCCATTGGTCCATACTATCTATTTGGGATAATGCAGAGAGGAACCTTCTCTCCCATCCAGATTCATGTGATCTAAGGGAGCATTTCAGCAAGCCATTTCCAGCTTTGTCATCCCCTTTGCTCGGGGATAATAAAGTTTATCAAAAACCCATTTGATGTCCTCTTTCCTGGCCCAGTCTTGTACCACCACACTGGTGAAATGTGATCCATTTTTTGTACATAGTTTGGGACAAGGAGACTGGGAAACCAATCACAGAGTCCTGAAACAATCTCTTTGGCTGTGTACTCTCACATTGCTTCAATTTCGCAGAGATCCTCTACCTAAACTAACTGTATCAAGTGTAAATATTGGTCACAAAAGGTGCCTGCTCAGCCAGCTGTTGCTGTCTCCACATTTAACTCTCATTCTTTAAAAAACAACACCCTCCCTGGGGTTTAGCACTTCCCTGCTCAGCTTGCTTGTACCATCCTGTTCTTTCACTCTTGCAGAGCACAGCTTCAGAACTTAGCATGTGCAGCAATTGCTCCCATGCCAAAGGTGCTGGAACAAAAAGTTTTGCAGCTTATAAACTGCATATAAACATATAAGAGCTTATAAACTCCATATAGACACACACGGGCCTGTGTGCTCAGCCCTGTGTCCCCTCACACACCTTCCATCTCACAGCATCCCATTACAAAACTAAAAACGTTCAGCAGCTGGTCCCACGGAAAAAGTTCTGGAGGAAAAAGCCAGTGCTGGGATTCACTTCTCTTTTGCAGCTCAGAAACTGCACAGACAACAAGGAGTTGATCGGTTTTCCTTCACAAGTACATGCAGGGTCACATTCTTCCAGTCTCGAAGAGCCAGGATCCAAAACGAAACCCTTGCAGCAAGAGCTCCCACAATGATGGTGACAAAAAGCTCTTGGCGTTTTTCTGCCTGCGCCCCTTCACCGCTCATCAAACCGCCGCGCGATGGCGGTGTGGACCTGCAAAAAAAAGTCACTGTCCCAGAAGGAAAGCAGCGAAAGCAGCCGAAGCGCAGATCCGAGCTGAAAACGTCAGATCCGAGCTGAAAACGTCACTCCCCTCAGGACTGAAAGGTTTGGCTGACCTTCCCCGTTCCTGTGCAAACTCTTATTTGCACCACGCTCGAGAGGCAACACGAACTCCTTCCCAATTATATGCACTAATAGGTTTTGTCATTCTGGCAGAATCCAGCTACAGAATTGAAAACATGCAGCAAAACCAGAGCTGACAGAAGTGCCAGGTGAGAAAGCAGGGCTGGCTCCACCTTCCACTGGCCCCGTTGAACTGCACCACACACCCCAGTATCTGTGCTTTCCTTCTCAGCTCTCTGTGCCATCATAATTGACCCATCACTGTACCATCCAAAACTGAACCCCACCACTAAATGCTCAGACACTGAAGTGAGCAGCACAAAAAGCTCAACACTTGCCTTTTGTATTCTCACTAGCAGTTCAACAGCTCTAGCCAATAGCATCCTATACCAGGAAAAGCACTTAAATTCACCAGGACTCTCTCTAAACGGCCCAATGTGTGAATCCAAAAGTGATTTCCTTGCCAAAGGGAGGAACTGTGACCCCATCTCAAAAGAAATGCGATCCCCGCCTCCAAAATAGAAAACATCCAGGGATTATTCCCACTCAGAGGTTGCAGAACACTGTTACCTGCCATTACCTCCCCAAGGCAGTGTATCATCTGCACACCCACACTGGGAATAGCTGCTTATCTCACCAAAACTTCAGAAGACCACCTGACAAACTGAATACCCTGGGAGGTTGGTCCCACACCAAAGCTGCCAGATAGAAAAACTGTTGCTTTGCCTTTCGTTCCCTGGGCACCCAGTTCTTTGCAGCACAAGCCCTGGGATTATGTACTTTCGTTCCTAAGAAGAGCACTGTTACCCCTTTTCAGAAGGTTAACCCCAAAATTTGGTTATCACCTCGATAATTGCAATCGTCATGGGATTGCTCCCACACAAAATGTGCCAGGATGGAAAGCTGCTCCTGGTGCTGTGACCTATCATCTGCATCTGAAGCACTGGGTCTGCCTGCCTTCCTTCCCATGTGAAAGCACTGGGATACACTTCCAGGAGCCCAGAGCTGAAAGTCGGATACCATCTCTGATATTGCATATTCCAAGAATTGCTCCTACACACAAGTGGCCAGGACAGAATTGTCCTGCTGGATTTTACCTCCCCATGGTACCTTATCATCTGCTCCACAAACAGGACTTCCCAAAAAAAAAGGCACTCTAATTCACTTCCTGAACCCAAACCTAGACATTTGGAGAGGAAGGAAAGCGCAGTTGAGGAGTAGGCAAGGCAAGGTAATGCCAGGCAAGGAAGGGGAAAGGAAAGGGGTATGCAAGACCAGGCAGGGCAAGGAAGGGCAAAAAAAGGCAAGGGAGGGGCATGCAAGGAAAGGCAAGGCAGAGGTATGTAAGGAAAGGCAAGCGAAAAGTGGGGCAGGCAAGGTATGATAAGCCAGGAAAGAAGGGGGGAAGGCAAGTCCAGGTGGGGGATTGATATGAAAGGTGATGCAAGGCAAGGAAGGGGTAGGCAAGGCGTGGCAAGTGAGGTGTAGGCAGGGAAAGGCAAGGCAAGACAGGTGTAGGCAAATCAAGGGAAAGCAAGGCAGGCAAAGCAAGGCAAGACCAGTGAGAGGAAGGCAAGGCAGGGCATGGCAAAGGGGGTGATAGGCATGACAAGGCAAGGAGTGGCAAGGAAGGGGAAGAAAGTCAAGGCAAGGCAAGGCAGGGCAAGAGATAGGCAGGGCAAGGCAAGACAAGGCAAGGAAAGGGAGTGGAAGGCAGGGAGAGTCATGAGAGGGGTAGACAAGGCAAGGCAGTGCAGGGGCAGGCAAAGCCAGACCAGGGAGGTGCATGTAAGGAAAGGCAAGGTTGGGGTAGGCAAAGCAAGGTAAGTGAAGCACTGAGGCCTGAGCAAGAGGCCCTGAGCCAAAGCTGACCTCTAGATGAACCTTCCAACCTAACGTTATACTTATCTGTGTGTCTGCTCATTAGCAAAAAATATGTAGTTTGTGAGTAAAATAGGTAGTCTGATAAGACTACACCTGTGTATCTGCTCATTAACAAAATATGTGTGCTTATTAGTAGGATAGATTAGCATCTGCTCATTAGTGAATAGTGCTTAGAAGGGCATAGCAGGTGTATGTGAGAAGTGATAAGGAAAAGGCAAAGGTGAAGGCAAAGGTGATGGCACAGTTTTTACAACCCCCCAAGGGAAAAATGCAGGGACTCCCCAGGACCAAAGGGTGATGCCTGCTCAGCTGGTGCTTAGAAAAAAAATCTAGGAGCCGTTAGTTGGGGTGAGATAAGAAAGGGTTTAATTGTGCCAAGGCAATAGATGGTAAATGACGCGCCCCGGGTTGTGCCCGAGATGTTACATTTATAACAATATCTGACCAATCCCAAGTGTGTCCTCCCCGTGGCTTTTGCTCTGGTCCACCCCTGGCCCACCTCCTGGAATTGGGCCTGGGGGCTTTTTGGGACCCTCTCTTCATCATCCTTCATCATCTTTGGGGTACAGAGAGCAGAGTCACCCAGTTCCTTGACTCTGTCCTGTGATTTAGGCCAAGATACAAGCGTTCTCCAAACAAGACAGGTTTGCCTTGACAAGAGACAAAACATCTTCTACTGGATACGGGGGTAGGGTTGATATGGGGAGTATGGAATGGAGTAAGAGGGTTAAGGAATGTATAAACTAAGGGGTACTACGGGGAGGAGGGAGAAAGGAGTGTTTCTAAAATCTACTTCTATTACCTATAAAACTTGTAAGGTAGAAAAATAAGAAAACCGTTGGGGTTTAAGGCATCAGGGAAAGGGAGTGCCACCAGGATCTCACAGGAACATGCCTTCCTGAGAGGGAGGGAGTCAGCCAAGCCAGTGATTGTCGAGGAATCAATGTGCCATTTGTAAGAAAGAAGGGCATTGGAAGAGAGAATGTCTGCAGAGACAAGTGGACCCTTGTGAGGAAGAAGGCCACCAGCTGATGGAGATGGATTGTAGGGGGTGTCAGGGGCTCCCATTATACCAAGGACCCACCACACTGGAGCCCTTGATAACATGCAGAAGTGCACTTCTTTGTGTACAGGGGCCTCTTGGTCTACTTTAAATTTTATGCCAAAGGGGGACAATTGTCAAAAGGATCGTTAACAATTCAAGGAGTGAACGGGAAAGACGAGTGGGTGTGCCTCATCCAACCACTGTTAATAGATGTGGGAGATAAATATGAGATGCATGAATTTTTATTTGTTCCTAATTGTGATTGTAATCTACTAGGGAGAGATTTGATGGCTAAGGTAGGAATACAAATTAGCATTATTAAGAATGACAAATGCTAATACTGTTGTAGCCTTGTGTAGGCTCTCCGATAAAGCCTGTGCTGAAATAGACCCAGAAATGTGAGCAGTCCCAGGAAAATATGGAAAATCAGACACAGAACCTCTTTAAATAACTTTAAAACAACCAAGTCAAGTGGTTTCTAAACCCACCTCATGGGATGGAAGAAAAGGGTTACAGCCTATCATCAAATCTCTGCTAGAAGCAGGTCTTTTGGAGTCATGCAT